TAGTGTTACTTTTATAAATTGTTACTTGGATGGAGAGTTGTCTCATTGGCACTCATAAACATCTTCCTAAGTCTACTGAATTACTTTGTCCCTGATTGGATAGCTATATCATTTAATTGTTCCTTTATTTACTTAAACCCCCTATAGAAGTAAATTTATAATATTAAATCGCTCAAGTCAGAAAATGAAAACAATCACTAAATTAAGGAAAAGAAATGCGTAATTAACCTCCATGGCATGGTAAAATCTTTAAATAAGAAGGGAAAGTTAGTTGATAGTCTTGTCCAATTGGAAAAATAAGTCTGCAAGAAGAGAGGCGAAAGACACCTAAGGCAGAGTCAAACTCATAAGTCGAAAACGAACTAACGTTTATGACAAAGGATAGACAAGACAGGTATCGGTATGAATATCACAGACATACAAAAAAAGCACAAAGAACTACATTTAACTCTAAAGCAAGGGCATTATGAATCCCTATAAAACAGAACTAGGGATGATATCATGTGTACCGGAAGGATAAACCGATCCAGCTAAAAATATGAAGAAACATAAGGACATTTCCTTAAAGCTCTCCAATTGTATTTTGTTTTTGTTTAAATCAGCAAAATCATAGATTGAAGCGTGCACTTTTATGTTTTAACAAAATTCATTTTGGTTCATTTTCGAGATGAAACCAAATTATTAATGCCTTCAGCAATTTTCAGCAATCATGACAGATGTTGCATCATATTTTAGTATTTATTCAAAGATTGTGTAAGAAGGACATGTATAACTCAAACCAACAGTCTACAGGGAGTTTCTGTATTTCGAAAGCAAAAAGATTTTTTTTTTGGTTTAAGACATCCTTCAATGCAAAATTGAGTAAAAAACGTGTAACATTTACAATAGCGTTTTTATTAGCATGTCGAGGAATGGTACGAATTTGTATACAGAATAGAAAGTCGAAGAAATATAGTAGAAGGAACAAGAATATTGATATGTATATAAAAGATGACTTTAAGGATAACATATACATTACAAGATGCCATCAAACAGACGAGCTGCAGATGTCTTGAAGCAAAGTTAAATAATGAATACCCTTTGCCTTATTGAACGGTTTGTCGTACAAATTGTATTGACACCAAAACTATTAGTGATATGAAACATGCATTATAATCTATTTGTCCTTTTTGTTTTACGAGCTGTACGTTTATTTATAGTACGTTTGTTGATTTTGAAAATTTTTTGACTCGAGCATCACCGAAGAAAATGTATTGTCAAACCGAGCATCTGTTACAGACAAATTGATACCGTTAATGTTATTATAATCATACAAGTACCATTGTCACCGGAAACGAGGAAACGGATTTAATGTCAATGTCAATGACATAAGAACATCCTTATCTTATTGATTTTGTATTTACATTGTATCATAGATCAAATTTATTCGTTCTTTGTATGTTCACTTGTGTTAATATGTCATTTGATTGAGTTCAGCCATTTCAATTGATATTTTAAAGTGTGTCTTTCTATGTTTTCTATTTTTGGGGCCTTTTATAGCTTGCTGTTCTGTGTGATCCCAGGCTCCGTGTTGGAGACCGTACTTTGACATATAATGGTTTCCTTTTATAAAATGTGTCTTGGATGGAGAGTTGTCTCATTGGCACTCATACCACACATCTTCTTATATCTATATATATAAATTTGTGCACTGAACTTTCCGATGATTTTGAAAATACAATCAACCACACTAATACAAAACTGTAACAACCTGTTAAACATGATGCACACCTTTTGTTTCATGTTTTTGAAAGCGAACTAAAAAGAAACTCTAATTTATGGACAAAGTTTTCAGCATTTTTGATTTTAAATGCAGGTAAAAAATTTACAGGTAGCTTCAGGACTTGAACCAAATTTGATTTATCGCATTGATCATTTCAATATTATAGACATTTGTATTTTGTTCTTTGGGCGTAATGAAATTGAGTCAAAGAGAGACGAAAGATACCAAAGGGACATTCCAACTCTTTTCGTCGAATATAAACTGACAGCGTTATGGCTAAAAAAGAAAAAGACAAACAGACAAACAATAGTACACAAAACACAACATAGAACATTGAGGACTGCCATTAGATAAGGAATTTTTCGTTTTGAATTTTCTTTGGATCTCGGTATTTTTGTTATCTTACTTTTTATGAATTTAGTCATCATGAAGATCATAAAGATCATAAAGATCGAAAGTTAAATGAACCCTTTACACCAAATGTAGTTGACTTATTGTGTATAGTGTCAGAGAAAGGGATCTTATCACGAAAACTTGTCGTTGACCAATAAACCATTAAACATTCTCAACTTCGAATATCCACAAGATTTATTTGTAGTTTCTATGATGAGCTGAAAGGGATTTCAAATAATATGTTCCAGCGGTTACAATTTATTTGTTAACAAACTAAAAAGTAGCTGCTTTTTTCTGTTTTTCAAATCATGTTATATTTTCAAAAAAATATAGTTTACATTGTTTAAGGTGGTAGTCTTTATGATATATACTAGCTGTTTTCACATGTGTTTAAATAGCTTTGTTCATTATTTGCTGCTTCAGTTGTGCTCATTTCAGGGTTGTGTAGCAGCTGCTTACGGAAAGGATTAAGGTGATATCGTCATGGTATTTGGCTGCTTCGCGCTCCATTCGCGCTTATTTACAAGAGTAAAAGAAAACGACAAAATTATTTTACCAAATTGCTCGCTATATCCTCAGGATTTTTTATCCAATTTTGACGGAAGCGATACGAAGACTCCATATGAGAGTTATTTCCCCTAATGCATTTGAAATAAGTGATATACATTTGTAACTGGTAAACCATAAGTGATAGAGAACTAGGGTCTGTTGATTTGAGGTCCTTGGTCCAAAGAATAGAAATAGTCAAGGTCAAAGGTCAAGATCAAATTGTAAATTTCGACTTTTCCTTGTTCCAATATCTCCTCTGTCACTTTTAAAAATATACATAAAATCACTAGTGCAAAATGTTTGCCTAATTGTGATTAAGATAGGATACAAAAAAAATTCCAATGACATCTTAAAAGAGTTATTGGACCTGAATGATTCAATTTATGGTTTATTGATTATTACTCCAGCTTGGTACATGAAAAAGCCATAGAGTTTTTTTGCAAACTGTTGGTTGCCATGTGACCTTGAAAAATATCAACCGGAAGTGACCTTGAGTAAACCGGAAGTAGCTATTTTTGCACTCATTTCATGGAAAAGTACCTAGAAACTAAATATTTTTTTAATATGAATACATAAACCTATCATTTGAGACCGAAAGTGAATTTCACTAAACCGGAAGTACCTAATATCTCCGATGTTACAGGCAAAGAATATAGAAACCATATATTTTTTGGAATCATTGTAACTAGAAATATTATGTGAGACCAGAAGTGACATGTTTTTAACCGGAAGTTAATAATCATCTCCCTTATTTCAGGCAGAAATATATAGAAACATTTATTTATTGAATCAGTATGAAGAAACCTATGCTTGGACGCCAAAAGTAACTTTGAGCAAACCGAAAGTATCTTCTCATCAATAATTTATGAAATTGATGTGGAAAGACCTTCATTTGTTCTCTGAAGAATTGTTTTTTTATTAGGTCTTTCCACTTTTCTGTGGAAAGACCTATTGTATTTGTTCTGATTATTATTAACTTTTTGCAAGATGTCGCTCAGATATTTTGCATATGATATCGAACAGTTATTGGGACTTTGATACTGACCCTGTTTAGCCGAACACTTTTTATTGTAAGAGTTATCTCCCCAAACACTGTTTTTCTCCCTCGCAACCATTAAAGATTACGACAAAACTGTTTCACCAATTTGCTCATGATATCCTCAGAATCTTAAAAATAATTTTGACCGAAGCGATCCGGAGACTTCATATGAGAGTTATTTCCCCTTTTGTATTTTAGATACGAAAGATGTAATTGTAACTGGTTAACCATAGGCATGATAAGTGATCGAGACCAGGGTCTTTTGATTTGAGGTCCTTGATCCAAAACAAAGAAAATAAGGTCAAGGTCAAAGGTCAACGTAATGTTCTAAATCTTGATTTTGGCTTATTTTCACTTCTTTTCAAAAACCGTATAAGATATCGACAAATAATTTTAACTAAATTGTTAGTTGCCACATATCGTAACATATACATTTTGGTTGAAAGGGTGCATAGACAATAAATGGGAGTTTTAGCCCCTCTTATATTTAGATTTATGCGTATGGTAATATAACTCATTAACCATATGAATAAGGACCTAGGGTCTTTGGATTTGATGTCCTTGAAATTGTAGTCAAGGTCACAGAAAAATTTGACGTTCTGGATTTTGAACTTTGCTTTAAATTCATATTCAACCATGATAAAGGACTTTGAGCATTAGGTTAAAATCCATATGACCTTGAAAAATCAAACCGGAAGTGACCTTGGGATAACTGGAAGTGGCTATTTTTTGTACTTATATTATTTACGACTGTATAGAATAACATATTTTTTGAAAGCAGTATCAATTTAACTATTAAATAATACCAGAAATGACATTTTTCAGACCGGAAGTAACACATTATCTCCCTTATTTATAATAGAACTGTATAGAAACCATATATTTTTGGAATCAAGAAACAATGAGCTATCATTTGACACTGGAACTGACATTTTCAACTAAATTCTAATATTTTCATATCTAAATATATCGTGAGGGGTGGAAAGACCTTCAATTGTTCTATGAACAATTGTTTTTAATTATAATGGAATTTGATGCGACTGTCATACAAGTGAGAGGTTAAGCTAGCTATAAAACCAGGTTTAATCCACCATTTTTTAAATCAAGAAAATCCCTGTAAAAATAAGGAATATGACAGTTGTTATTTATTCGTTTGATGTGTTTGAGCTTTTGATGTTGCCATTTGATTAGGGACTTACCGTTTTGAATTTTCCTCGGAGTTCAGTATTTTTGTGATTTTACTTTTGACTACGTAGATTTAAAATTCATAATTTTATTTGAGTATAATTTTTTTGTCCAAAAATTTGGATTGTTTAATTTAGTAGGAAAAAAAACCGCACATTCAAATATTTTTCATTACAAACGTATTAACTAGTGTTAGAGAAAGGTTTATCTCAGTGACCAAGGTGATGTTGTATCAATTCATTTTGAAATGTCAAAGAGAAATGCATCCTTTCGACGGTTCGCAATAAGTAAGTGGTTATTTGTTCGATCGAAGTACACAGATTGTGGTAAATGAAGACCATCTGTCTTTGACAGCAACAATCTGTGCTTGGTTCCGTCTGGTGAAATTACAATGACATTGCAAGTGGAATAGCCAGATACGTATACCCGACCGTAATTGTCAACTGTAATACCTCGAGCGCTTTCAATAAATCCTTTAAGTTCTAATTTCCATTGCAATGTCCCTTGAAGATCACAACATGATACTGAATTATCCTTGCCTATGAAATAAATATGACTTGACAACATGGCAATGCTGCTATATTCGGACAATGGAACACAAACTAACTGTGTAACAGAGCCGTCTTCTAAATTCACAACACATAATCCACAATTACCTCCATTATAGAATAATTTTCCGTCTTTGTGAACTATTCCATAAATCTGTGATCCAATTAAGATTGATTTCTCATTTTTTATGTTTTTCATGTCGATAATTTTAATGCATTGGTTGTAAAACCCAGTTGTTACGGCAAGTTTTTGACCTTGTTCGATAAAGTAGATATGAGATGTTGGGGATCCTGTCTCAAATGTAAAATCCAAAGTGCCGTTAGATTTGAACACGTGAATTTTGTTACTTGTATAGCAGGAAAAAATCATTCTTCCATCAGGTAATAAGCAACAACTTTTGATATCACCACCAATTGTTTTCACGGTCTGTCCTAAAGTAAGATTTATATCATCAATCGTAGGAACAGGTGAGGTATGCATCATTATCTGCGCTTGTTTGTTCTTCCTGTTTGTTAATGTTGCATTCCCTGGCCTTGTTTCCAAGATAACGGTTCCCATTCTATTGACTGTGGTAGGGATGGTTTCCACATCATTTTCGTTTTTCCAAGTAATGAAAATATGATTCATTTTCTCTCCTTTTATTAAGGATTCTAGAAAAATTTCGTGGTTCATGACATCGCATTGGATGTGTTTCATAGCTAAGAAAGTCTGGAGTTCTGACGCATGCTGTTTTATTTCATCTAGGATGGATTGACTTTCAGTAATCTCTAATTCCTTCTCTTGTATTGATGATATTATGTTTGTGATGCTTTTGTTTTCCTTTTCCTCAACGGCGTATAACTCTTTCGTTAAATTTTCCTGTAGCCTATCAAGATGATTATTAATCACTGTTCGTGTCTGCTGAACTTCTTTTTCTATTTTTGTCCTGTCCTCCTTTAAACTTGTAATGTTTTCTTGTCGATCTTTTCTTATTCTCTGCAAATTTTCTGAAAGTTCTTTCAACATTTGTTCAATCTCTAAAAATGCATTTGATGATTTTACATTCTTAATGACATCCTCTATCGCGTTTAAATCTTTGCAATCGTTATGTGTTTCAACAACACATCGTCTACAACATGGTGTATCATGCTTCCTACAAAATATTTGGTATTTTTCATTGTGCTTTGGACATGTTTGAGTAATTTCCAATATATAAGAAGGTAAACTTTGGTAATCGGTTTGTAGAACAATAATATGGCCTCTAGTCCCTTTGGAAGCTGCATGATGGTCTTTACACTCCTCACAGAGTCCTTCATCGCATTCTGAACACCAGAACACTGATGTTTTGCTAATGTGGCGGTAGTCGCATACTCCACATAAATTTAACTTACTCGACATGCTACAAAAAAGAAATTTTAAATGTAAAAACTTGCTCTATAAGAGTCTGTCTTAGGTTAGACAAATCCTTAAATATGAATTGTTCCATTCTTATAAACATTCACCGGATTCTGGATATACGTATTCATTGTTTTTTTTCATAACAGGACCGAATAACAAATTTTAAATGCAAATTAAGATTCTATGAAATGTTGTTGGTGCAAGTCATGTAAGCATATGCTTGCCACACTTTGGACGAACAAACAGATTTTTTTCCCGTGTGACTGATATTTTTTCTGTTAGGTTGCAAACTTTCATGTAATACTGCCGACTAGAAAATTATTGTGGCGGGCTTTAATTGGTAGTCTTTGAAAATCGCTTTTCATTTTTGGAACAGAATTTCCTGCTTTAACTATTTGTCACAGTATGTAAAAAAAGACAAGTAAATAAGTATGAAAACAAAAGTAAACAAAGTTAATTTGACAAGATAAATTTGTAACATTGATATTTCACATAGAACTGTACTTTTCAAGTGCCATGCTACAAATATTATTACTTATGATACAAGTAAACATTTGTTCGTATTATCACGGGATTAAACTGAGGACGGGTCAAAGATCAACAAAAGTACATTTAGAAGCAAGGTCGAAGGGCATACCAAAAGGGTTTGACTAGGTAAAGAAATATGCTCATCCAATGACTACTCCCGTTCATGTAGAAACAACCTAAAGCTTGCTAATGTGGAGAGCCCGCTTGGTAAGGTTTTGTTTCCTAGAGTGTTTATAAATACAAGTTTTGGTCGACTGACAACTGCAGGTCTAAATGAGGTCGCTAAATCCGATGACTCGTGTAAGGCGAATTTTAAGCCTCAGCACGTTATTGAACCCTTGCAAAAACTCTCTGAAGGGATTATAGGTGGGCTGTTTATACAACACCAAAATCTGTCACTTCAATCACTCTTCCAAACTATCATATTCCAGTGGTTTTTAAAATGTCCTGCCCTTGATAGTCATGATCCGATCTTAATGAATCTATCTTTTTTTTTATCTGCCCTTCCACGTTAACATGGTAAAGCAATATAATCAATCAAGAAACACAATACTCAAGTATATAATATTTTCATTACTTGTTTTGTTTTTATTTTTGCGTCTTTACCATGTTTACTATGCATACTTTTTGAAGGATTAAAGAATTTTGTATTTTGGTAAAAAGCGGTAGGAGATGTTCAATCAGTGTTATACAATGTATTTTTAATTGTCAATGATTGTATATGCAGCTCTTAAGATCTTAACATTTTCCAGGTGGACATATTTGTCTGTACTCAAAATAACAATGGTGGTGTTAACAATTTTGAATTTGATTTAAAATAAGTTAAAAGACAAACGAAAATTATTTTGTCAATGCTACATGTTCGTGTTTATTTTTATCATTTATTTGTGCTTTTTATTTACATACTCAATGTTTAGATATTTTAACCTTATATGCGAAGCTAAAACGAAAGTAGATTTTAAAGTCACTGATTTTATTGACTTGGACTTGCATTAAATATGAAAATTAAAACTCATAACACAATTGATTCAATAGGTTAGAAACAAAGCAACTACTCATCAAGCATGTCATTGTAAGTGTTGAAATCATTGCTTTACCTGAGATCCAGAATATGTCTATCAACTGATCCAATGTAGGTATTTGAACACGTGACCAGTACATACTTTCTGCTGAGTATTATACCGCGGTAAAATTCAACATGATAAGTTTATCCGTGATTCTTCTCTGTTCTGTTTCGAGAAAAAACTTTTCGCTATACATTTAAAAAGGATTTTGGGCTGAACACTATTATTTGGTGTGTAATGATTTTAAGATTTAACTAATTATTTTTAAAATTTAAATGCATCCTTACTTTTTATTCTTTTTTATAAACCGTTATACTGATAGTAGTTTATACGTATTGTCCGTTTATTCTTAAATACGATTTTACATGTGGAGCAGAACCTACTTTCGAATCAACTGATGTCATTAATATTATTTTTCGAAACATTATGAAAAGTTTAAATTAAAGGGCAATAACTCCTTATGGAATCAATTGACAATTTTGGTCATGTTGACTAATTTGTATATATTAATTTGTTGAACAATTTTGTTGTCTACAGTTTATCTCTATCTATTTTAATATTCAAGATGATAACCAAAAACTGCAAAATTTCCTTCAAATTATCAATTCAGGGGCAGCAACCCAAAAACAGGTTGTTTGATGTGTCTGACAATTGAAGGTCAGATTGATATTGACTTGATGAACATTTTTACCCTATATCAGATTTGCTCTAAATGCTTCAGTTTCAGAGATATAAGCCAAACTGCATCCCCCTCATTGTTTTATTTTTAGCCATGGCGGCCATCTTGGTTGATGGGCGGGGTCATCGGATACATTTTTAAAACTAGATACACAAAGAATGATTTAGGCAAAGTTTAATTAAATTTGGCCCAGTAGTTTCAGAGAAGATTATTGTAAAAGATTACAAAAATTACGAAAAATTGTGAGTAATTGAATTTAAAGGGCAATAACTCCTTATGGGTTCAATTGACAATTTTGGTCATGTTTGACTTATTTATACAGCTAACTTTGCTGAACAATTTTGCTGTTTACAGTTTATCTCTTTCTATTATAATATTCAAGAAAATAACCAACAACTGCAAAATTTCCTTCAAATTACCAATTCAGGGGAAGCCACCCGAAAACGGGTCGTCGGATGCGTCTACAAATTTCAGGGCGGATAGATCTTGATATAAGGAACATTTTTATCCTGTCAGATTTGTTCTTTAATTTAAGAGATATAAACCAAAATACACATTTTACACCGATATTTTAATTTTAGCAATGGTGGCAATCTTGATTGATTGGCGGGGTCATCGGATACATTTTTTTAATAAGATACCCTAAGGATGATTTAGGCCAAGTTTGGTTTAATTTGGCCCATTTGTTTCAGAGGAGAAGATTTTTGTAAAAGTTAATGACGACGACGGACGATGGACGTGAAATAATAAATATTGTATCGCAAGAGAAAATTATATGTTACTGCGAGCAACTAATCCTATTTCTGTGCTTGTTTTGTTTATAGCCTATTGAATTTAGAGTAGAAATACTTGAAATTCGCACGAGCAGGACAGGTCTTCTTCTTGTTGTAATGTAAATGAGTCAGAATTTGATTTTTACTACCAACATTGCTTTAAGAAGCAAGGCTACATGAGCACTCTGAAAAAGGGAGAGTCGATACGAAGGGGGCAGTTCAAAAACCTGAAGACGAAAAAAGAATCAAAACCACAAGAAAAACGTCGAAAAAAACCATTGTATATCATTATTTCATTATGGCATAATACTGCATATAGCATGTATAGGTAATCTTGCAAATTGGACGGCATCCCATATTTTCTGTCGAACAGGAGAAGTAACGGTTTTCTTTTTTCTGCTTTTTTTCAGTAAACATTTGAGAAGATCTCTGCAAGTTTAAGATAACAAACATCGGCATACATTCTTTGATTTAAAATTGATATGAAGGTGAAAGTAGTGTATCGATGTACAAGTCTCGCAAATCGATTAAGAAGAGACAAATTCTGACAGGTAACAATAAAAAAAACTGATGGACTGGCATGTATTTATCTATGTATAGGATGGAATGTACAAGTCAGTACCCGGCCATGTCCACTCTGTGTTTTTGTTAGATGTATTTCTATTTGAAGTATTCGTCTGAAGAGTTAAGCATTTTTAACTGATTTTTTTAGTTTGTTCTTATGTTGTACTTTTTAACAACTTTTCCAGGTTAAGGGGAGGGTTGGGCGCCCGCTAACATGTTTAACCCCGCCACATTATGCATGTGCCTGTCCCAAGTAACTTAGTTGCTGTTTTCAATATTTGTTTTTCGTTCATTATTTTGTACATAAATAATTTCGTTAGTTTTCTCGTTTGAATTGATTTACATTTGTAATTTCAGGGACTTTAATAACCGACTATTCGGTATGTGATAAATTACTAATTTCTGTGTCATTTGGTCTCTTGTGTAGAGTTGTCTCATTGGCAATCATATCACATCTTCTTTTTATACATAGATAAATACATGCTTAAAATGCAAGAAGACACGGTCTTGTGCACTTCATCTTGTGTACACTTCATGACATAGCTAAACTTTAAAACGAGCATACATGGGTCAGCTGCAGCGGGATGTTCTTGCTGTTTTGAGACCCAATGGTGGCTTTTGGATGCTTTCTGCTCTTTGATTGGGTTAATGTCTCTTTGACACATTCACCGATTCCATTCTCTATTTTATACGTGTTTTTGTTAAACAATTTCAAACATAACACAGTGTGTTTTAACTAACATGCCTTTACTTGTGCAATTACCCAATAGTTTTCAAGTTGAATGCGAGTACAAAAAAAGAATTGTAGCGACTTCAACTGAATAGTGTTTCGATGTACAATAGCTTTACTTTAAACACATTTACAATTGTGTTCATTAAGAAAACACAAAAAGTGCAATTCAATTTTAGCCAAGTGAGCTTTTCTCATCACTTGACGTCCGTCATCTGTCGTCCGTCGTCCGGTCGTCCGTTAACTTTTACAAAAATCTTCTCTTTTGAAACTACTGAGCCAAAAATAACCAAACTTGTCCACAATTATTATTGGGGTATCTAGTTTGAAAAAATTGTCCGATATCTTGGCCAACCAACGAAGATGGCCGTCATGGCTAAAAAAAGAACATAGGGGTAAAATGTAGATTTTGGCCTATATCTCTGAAGCCAAAGCATTTAGAGCAAATCTGACATTTTTTTAAATTGTTGATCAGGTCATGACCTATCTTCCCTGAAATTTTCAGACAAATCGGACAACCCATTGTTGGGTTGCTGCCCCTTAATTGGCAACTTTAAGGAAATTTTGCAGTTTTTGGTTATTATCTTTAATATTATTATAGATAGAGATAAACTGTAAACAGCAATAATGTTCAGCAAAGAAAGATCTATAAATAAGTCATGATGATCAAAATGGTCAATTGACCGCTTAATGAGTTATTGTCCTTTATAGTAAATTTTAAACAAATTTTTGTAAATGTTTGTAATCTTACAAAAGTCTTCTCCTCTGAAACTACTGATACAAATTTAATCAAACTTAGTCAGTCACAATTATCATTAGGGTATCTTGTTAAAAAAAACTGTGTCAGTTGACCAAATATGGCTAAAAATAGAACATATGGGGTAAAATGCAGTTTTTGGCTTACTAGTATGTCTCTGAAACTAAAGCATTTAGAGCAAATTTGACAGAGTAAAAATGTTATCAGGCTAAGATCTATCTTAAATTTTCAGACGATTCAGACAACTCGTTGTTAGGTCGCTGCCCATGAATTTGTAATTTTAAATAAATTTTGCAGCTTTTTGGTTATTATTTTGAATATTATCATAGATAGAAATAAACTGTAAACAGAAATAATGTTCAGCAAAGTAGAATCTACAAATAAGTCAAATGATCAAAATGGTCAATTGCCCCATTAAGGAGTTATTGCCCTTTAAAGTCAATTTATAACAATTTTTGGTAAATTTTTGTAATCTTTTACAAAAGTCTTCTCCTCTGAAACAACTGAGACAAATTTAACCAAACTTGGCCACAATCATCATTAGGGTATCTAGTTTGAAAAATGTGTATGATGACCCTGTCTGCCCATCAACATAGCAGACATGGCTAAAAATAGAACATAGGGGTAAAATGAAGTTTTTGGCTTATAACTCTGAAACTAAAGCAAAAGTAGAACGTTTGCATTATTTCATGCATCAATTGTAAATAAAAATATCAGGTGAGCGACACAGGCTTCCTGAAGCCTCTAGTTTTCTCACTAAAAACTGATTTATGTATAAATAACAAAGAAGATCACCTCAGTGATATTGTAACAATTCATTTTGAAACGTCAGAGAGAAATTTATTTAAGTAGTGAAGGTGATATTGTAACAATTAATTTTGAAACGTCATAAAGAAATGCGTTATTTCGATGGTTCGCAATAAGTAACTGGTTATTTGTTCGATCAAAGCACAAAGCTTGCGGATATTTCAAACCATCTTTCTCTGACAGTAATAATTTGTGGATCTTTCAATCAGGTGAAATTACGACGACATTGGAAGTTGCATAGCCCGATACGTAAACATGCCCGCAATTGTCCACTGTAATACCTCGTGCCGTCTGAAGAAATGCTGCAAGTTCTAATTGCCATTTCAAGTTCCCTTGAATATCACAGGTTGTTACTGAATCATCCTCGTTTATGAAATAAATTTTATCTGACCAAATTGCAATGCTGGCATATTTAGACAATGAAACTTTTACTAACTGGGTAACAGAGTCGTTATCTAAATTTACAACCCATAATCCAAAACTTCCCCCATTATAGCATAATTTTCCATCTTTGTGAACTATTCCATGAATTTGTGTTCTAACATTAATAGATTTCTCAGTTTTTCTGTTTAAAACATTGATAATCTTAATGCATTGGTAGTTAAAGCCAGATGTTACGACAAGTTTTTGACTATTCTCGATAAAATCTATATGAGATGTTTTCGATCCCGGCTTCAATGTAAAATCTAATGATCCGTCGATTTAGAGGACGTTAATTTTGTCATACCTATAGCAGGAAAAAATCATTCTGCCATCAGCAAGT